CTCTATTGCTTCAGTGTTATATCAAGGATGCTGTTTGTTCAACAAATCATTTTAAACAACTGCTAAGTACAAAAAAAACTGTGCTAAACTGCTGAGCATATAAATATAAATAAAAACTCACTGCTCTGCCCTCAAATGTATAACCAGTACGGGAGAGAAAGAAATCAGCAGTTAACCAGTACATGGTCCTACATGCTAACAGTGAGCAGTTCATGGTGGGTGCACTGGGGTCTTGAATTTGAAGGGGTTGCATCATGTAAAAACAGACTGAATGATGAGCTAATATCTGAGTGTGTATTTGAAGACCTCTCACATCGTAGATAAGAAGAGGGCAAAAGAAAGTATTTGAGAAATCTGGAGCTATTCAAAGAAACGATATTATTTTGTATCTGGACACATAACACTGTTTGACATAAATGAGGTACCCTTGAGATATGTTTTGAGCAAAAATAATTTTCTATAATTAAATTTTTGCTTCAGTTTTAATATTTTCATTCATTTATGCGGAGTCACACAGTCCAATATCATCTATTCCATATATGAATTATATCATCAGTATACTTTCTCTTGTGTTATCCATGAATTGCTTACAAAAGCCATAAACTGTGTGAACTCTTAAAAATTTCAATTTAAAAGGCCACTGAAAGTTTTTCATATATTGATTATTTTTAAGTAACCTCTCCCTAATTTATAGGGTTTATTATTTAGCTTAGTTTAACAGTTGTTATTCTTTAAAAATTTGTGAACGTGAACAATTAGATGCCTGTAAAACCCCTAGATTCATAGACTATTAAGCTAAAAGAGACACTTGAAAATAATCAAATTTTTTCATTTTGTTAATGAGTTAACCAAGGTATCTAGTACAGTTAAGTGACTGTCCAGGTTCATACAGCTCCTAGTCAAAACCTGAAGTCTTTTCTGGAGTGTGATTCCAGAGGCTCTATTCCAAAGTTTCTGTGCTTTTCACAAAGACCAGATGTGCTCTTTCTACTCCAATACATACCTCTTCTAAGTGCGTAGACTTTTTCGCTTTTATATTACTTTATTATTATTACTCCCAGACTGGGAAGAATACATTTCAGTTAGTTTTGGGGATACAAATTAGAAAAACAAAAACCAAAAAACAACAAAAAAAGGATAGCAAAGGAATCCAAATTTATCTGTAACAATTTTAAAAAGTTGCCTGAAAATATTGCATTCTTTGTACTTAGAGCTGGTAGCTTATAGTAATTGTGTGATTTTTTTTTCAACTACATAATAAACTCTAGCAGGTCTATTTTTAAGAACTGTGCAAAATTAGCTGTCCATATTTCAAGACCAGATAAGAGTGGGGGAGGAGTTGCTCACAGTCAGTCATAGGCACAGAATCTACGTTTGTTGTTTGTTTACTATCCAGTGCCATCTAGTGTCTATTAGGGAAAATAACAGTTATATATATATATATATATTTTTTTTTTCTTCTTAAAATAATATTTCTAAAATTTAACTGGTGGGGAGCGGAAGTAAAATGAAATTTTGTGAAGTGGTCTTTGAATTGTGTATGGAAAAAAAGGTGCCAGCATATGTTTATCAGGTGAAACATCAGATTTTCCCATTTCATTTAAAAACGGATCTTATAGATAAATTGGACATTATGAACATATGTACATGAGAGTTTTACCATGTTACAAAATGTTGTTTGGTGATATTCTCATTTATCCTCCTATGAAAATAATGAGTATAACACTTTTTTGTTATCTTTTTGATCTGAATATCCCATTCAAATCCTTATTCAAAAATTATTTTGACTGATTTTGAAAAGTGAACTCCCCATCTCCTTTGTGAAACTTTTTAAGAATTTATGTACAGTCATTGTTAATGCACTAATGCAGACTCTTACCAATGAACAATGCAAAATATGTATCTTATAAAGTAAATCATGATGATTTTGAAATATTAAGAACTAAGGTGAGATTTGCCTTGCCAAATCAGAAAATTTACTTTTAAATTATAGTAACTTAAACAGTGTGTTACACAAATGAAATTGTCTAGTGATACAGAATTGAGAGTTCAAAACAAACCCACGTATATGTGAAGATTCGGTGTATGTCAAATGCGCCAGTTTATCAATGGGAAAAGGCAACTGTTCAATATGTGGCTTTCCGTTGGACAATTTCTGTGAAATGAATAAAGGTAGATTTAATCAGCTTTTTCCCAACCCTGAATATGTGTAATAGTCAGCCCTGATTTCGAGGTTCATTATTGATTGGTATTTTGAATTTGCTATAATAACTACCTATAATTTCTTTCAACTACAAAAACCATAAAGGTTGTGTTGTGCCAAAACATGTAATTCTAACCAGTGAATAATCCTCAATCAGAACTAATAGGAGATGTTGAACAGGTGAAGTGTACTAAAGAAAGAAAGAAAAAAAAAAAGAGTAGGGAGCCACTAATACAGAGAGAGTGTGTAGGTATGGAAACGCACCAGAGCCAGGCGTGTGTTCCTAGGCTGCCCCTCATTTTCCCTTCTGCCAGAGATTTTGGCATTTAAATTGCAGTGTTTTCAATATTCTGTTAACAGTGCCTCTCAGGTCTTCATTGGAAACATTTCTGTTTTATAAATATACGAACAGAACAGAAATCATGAACTTTTTAGCAAAACAAGTAGAATTGTTTACTTTTTGATAATTTGTTATCTGCACGGAGAAGATGCAGGTATAGGACATAACTGAAAGATTTTTCAACGTTTCATTTCCAGAAAGCCTAAAAATCTATGAAATGGCTTCCCATATACCCTGCAGTACAGTTTTTGCTTATCTATTTCTTGTGCTTCCTATAGAAACCCTACATAGAGGCAGAAAGTGTATTATAATATTAAATAAATGCTTATTTAATAATTTGAGGAACATATAATATATTCTACCATTTTTGAATTATGTAGCTGAGTATAACTTGAATATACAGCTAAATTTGAACTTAAAGACTGAAGGCTGAGTCATCCAAAAGCGATGTGTGTTACATATCTTCAAACAAACAGAGCCAACACTATGACTGAAAGAACCAAAAAATAAAACCAAAGCTACTGTTGGAAGCTTTCTGCAGATTGTGTTTTTCATTATTGTTCATAGGACATTCTTCATTAAGAGTTATCTGAACCCCTCAGTTCAATTTAAGTGCATTTCCTGCAATTTTGTATTTGGTAGAGAAAAGGAACAGCAGTTGCTCAGCATCCTTCTCATAACTAACTTTCTCGCAGTTTGAGAAAATATTGGCAATACTATTTCTTTTTTTTTTTTTTTTCAGGTTAACCTTAGCATCTTTGGAGTGAGTAGTAACCCTGATGCCACCACACCACATATAGCCTTGCAGTTTTTTCTTGCAACCATTTCTTCGTCCTGCTCCTGAATCCTTTTTCTATCCTCCTCTCACTTGTAAGAAAGGATGACACCTGGCTTGTATTTGGCCAATGATAAACAGAAATCTAATCATAGTCTCACTTCTTCTTTGCCACACATATATTGGTGTATAATGGAATTATATTAACTTTAAAAACAGTGGCACTGATTACTAGTCTTTTAAAAAATGAATAAGGTAAAACTGTATCATCTCTTTAGATTTTTGATTTCTAAGAGTATACCTTGTTCTTAAATACATAAAGTTTAATCCTATTTAGAAGACCCATTTAAATATATTTTTTCACATGCATTGTATTTAATAGCAAGTACTCTTTAAGCACAGTCCTAATTCTTGTGAATATAAGTATTTTGAATTTATGCACTGGACCTTTATAATGGTACTACATTTAAAGCTGCCATGGTTAATTCTAAATTTTGCTTTCCTGTTCCCTACTGACTTAGCCAAAGAGCTCAGGTCTATAGGGCTCATTCTCCTGTGACTGAAAGATACCCAAAGAAAGACTTTTTAATATTACAGAGTTTAAAAACTACTTCTCTGATAAATTAATAAGAGTGTTTAGGGATGGAGTTGTGGCTCAGTGGTAGAGCAGTTGCCTAGAATATGTGGGACACTGGGTTTGATTCTCAGCACCACATATAAATAAATAAAAATAATAAAGGTCCATTGACAACTAAAAAATATTTTTAAAAAGCATTTAGCTCAGAGTCTCACCCTTAGAACTACCTCAGTCACAGTAAGTAGTTGTAGGAGTGTGTTTAGGTTAAGGGGATCCTCTGGTACCTTCTGCTGCCAGTCTTTAACTATTAAGTTACAACAGTCCAATCAAGAGGAGGGTAAATAAAGTGTAGGGGCAGTTTACCTGAACCTTAGCATCTTTGGAGTGAGTAGTAACCCTGATGTCACCACACTACAACACTGCCTGCCAACCCTAGATGAGTTATTTTGATTGTCAATTGACAATCTAAAAATGTGATTGGATTTTATCAAAATAAATGATCTTTAGTATTTTAAAATGGATTTCTATTTTAAAAACTGCATTCCACTCAGTCATTTGGAAAGACTGCCAAGATTGGTTTTTCAGAGAAGGGCAGATTTTTCATTGAGAATATTCTGAATCTATAATTTTTTAGGATAGTCAGTTTAAGCAATGTGAATAATTGAGCCTTAAAAAATCTTGGAAAGAAATGATAATGATAAATAAGGAAATGATATTGATAATGAAAAATGTAACCAAACCCCTTGCTGCTGATCTATCTTCAGGTATACCTGTCCAGTCCCAAAGGAGTGGGATCCAGTATTGGTTTCGTGGTAGGGTAGAACCTTGAGCCCTTTTTCTCATTTTCCATATTTCAGGTACCAAAATAGAGGCTATTTTACGAGGTTTTTGTGCCTGCACATCCTTTAAGTCCTATCTCCACCTGTACGTTGTGTGAAGTAGTCCCGGAGCGACAGTTCACCTCACTTGCTCCAGCTGGTTCAAAGCAGTGCACCTCTCCTCCTTTCATGTCTGTTTAACGGGTTCACAGACTTCTCAAGAGTGCTTTCCATATTGTGTGAAGGTACAGGAGAGCCTATAAAACATGTCCTTCTCTTCTTCCTAGAGTCTGTGTGTGTTCACACCACCTGGGATAAAGGAAGGAAAACCCCGACTCATCCCTGCTGGGCCCATTACCCAGGGCACCACCATCTCCGCTTATGTGGCCAAGTCCAGGAAAACCCTGCTTGTAGAGGACATCCTTGGGGTAAAGGGCTTTTCACTCTGTGTGACATTTTTAAAGATTCAATTAAGATGATATATCATTTTGACATATAATTTGAGCCATTTCATTAAAAAATTAAAGCAAGATTCATTAAATGAATTCATATATAAATTAACTTTTATATGCAGAAAATCAAATCTTTTGGTATTGGAGGGGGCAGATACTGGGGATTGAACCCAGGAGTGCTCTTCCACTGAACTACGTGCAACCCTTTTTATTTTTCATTTTGAGACAGAGTCTTGCTAAATTGCTCTGGCTGGCCTCAAACTTGCACTCCTACTGCCACAGCTTTCCAAGTTGCTAGGACCACAGGCCTGCACCACTGTGCCTCCACCAGAAAATTAGCTGCCGTATACTCACTAGTAGCTGGATTTGAAGACTGCATGCTTCCGTACATGCAATATGATTAAACCTCATGTATATGTTGATATTCATGTATTATATTTAATATAAATGAAATGATCAGTCTTTCATGCTTCACATCTTGCCAGGGTATACATAAATGTGTTAGCTCTTGCCTCATGACCAATCACCCCAAATTTTAGTGGCACCATATAGTAGCCACTTGGTATTTCTTGTGAGCTTCCACTGTCCCCTTCAGCTGATCTCACTGTTGGCCAGAAGTTACTTGTTGGCTGACTGTGATGGCCTCACCTTTCCACTATCTCTCCCTCTCCTCTGGTAAGACTAACCTGGTATGTTCTTAGGATGGTAGCAGGAGTGCCAGGGAAGAAGTGGAAATGTGCCTAACTCAGACTGGCTGCCTTCCCAGTAGCCAGTGCAGATCACAAGAGCAGGCCCAGACCTGGTGTTCAAGGGCAGTAAAAGGGAACATGACTGCCAAGAGACATGACAAATTGGAACCCTTAATCCAGCCTTCCAAGTGCACACAGGCATTTTCATGAAATGTTACTACAAGGAGGTACAGACTTTAAATTGGAATATAGACTTGGATTTTAATGTTGATTTTGCCACTATAGGACCTTGAAAAAAAATCAGGTAACTAGTTACTTTATAGAAAGAGAGGAGAGAGAGAGAGAGAGAGAGAGAGAGAGAGAGACACTGAGGAAGGGGAGAGATTAAAAAGTAGATTCTATATAGATTCTCATTTGAAAATGTTCTTTTATACATGCAAAATTTTAAAAGATCTGTAAATTACAAGTAGAGATTCATACTATTCTTGATTCCTAAAAAGTTCTAATTCATGCCTAATAGCTTCCTACAGACAGTAAAAACTGAACCCATAGAATTGGTGTTTGAGGGTATTAATTCATTCCATTTTCCTATAATTCCTTTGAGTGATTTTGCTAAGGTAGAAAATTATTAAAGTCAGAGAGCACGTTTCTATTGTTATGATATGTAGTTGATAATTGTTAGATGTTGAAATGCTTAATGTGGGCCTTTGGGATTCAATGAGAATAACTTATTAACATGCACTTTAATAACCTTAAACATAGAAGAAAAGAAATGTTTACATTTAATTGTCTTCATGCAGTGTTTACATCGGTATTAATTTTTACTCTCATGTTTTATCTGTGAAGCCTTTGAACAGTTCTGGCATAGAATGAGAAGAAAAAATGTCAGCCTTCGCCATTACTTGCATTATTATTGCTCAAAATTAACACGTCATTTATTTATTAAATTTATACTATGCAAGGATAAAGACACATTGGAGTAGTATTGGGGTATAGGTTGCAAAAAATAATCTTTTTTAAAATCAGGTTTATTGTAACTATCATGATTTGGTTTCACTTAGCAAAGGACTGCTTATTATCAGTTATAAATATCATTCCATGAAATAAATATCTTATTTCACGGAAATAAGAGCCATAACATAATGATTCTATTTCTTTCACTGAATTTATGTCTTTTTCCTCTTCTCAGGATGAACGATTCCCAAGAGGTACTGGACTGGAATCAGGGACTCGAATCCAGTCTGTTCTCTGCTTGCCAATTGTCACTGCGATTGGCGATTTGATTGGTATTCTTGAGCTCTATCGGCACTGGGGCAAGGAAGCCTTCTGCCTCAGTCATCAGGAGGTGAGCCTGAGGAGCTGCCGCTTAGGACTTCAGGCCACCAGCTCCTGATGGCACCAAGGAAATGTGAAATCACAATTTGCTTAACACTGTGTTGATATGGATACTAATACTAGTAGTTTTAAAGATCTGGGCTTTTTGTCCTGAGGTTGTTTATAGTAAAGACTGAGTAGATTAGAAATGTAGTTTTTCCATAAGAAAACATTGTAATAATAAAAAGTATGCCATAATGTGAATCAAACAAAGTAGTAGGATGATTTTGAGGAGTTTTTTACACTTTTGTTGTGTTTGTCTTCTTAAAAATGTCCTCTTCCTTGATTGTGTCCTGAGAAAAGTTTCTAATGTCACATATGTCAGGAAAAACAATGAGTTCTATTCTCCATTTTGTTGAATTGGAATCAGCTCATTAATACTAACCCCACTATGAAAATGGTGTGCCTCCCATGTCCAGGAAGAACCAAGTCCCCACTAGCTTGACCCCCATCCCTGGCCTGAGTGAGCCATCTCCTGCTATCCCTGACTCCTTCACACACTGGACCTTTGGGCATTGTGCCTGCTGCTCAGAGACCCTGCTTGGCATGTGCTGGCCCCAGTCCCCTTGTAGCACCTCCCTCAGGAGCCTCCTCAGAGCTCAGCACCTCCTTCAGGAGCCTCCTCAGAGCTCAACACCTCAGGGAGGGCTACCCTGAACCCTTGCTGTGCATTTAAATAGCTCCATCCAGTGGCACTTTGCTCCACGCTGTGGCACCTGTCACTGATACACACCCCCAGGACCCTTCCTCTCTTTTCTTGCTCTCTCCCCCAGGATACTAAAAGCCATTTTGTTGTTCTTGTTATTTACTGATAAGTCTCCTAGAAGAGTCCCTGGCACCCATCAAATACTTGTTAAATGAATAAATGGTGAAAGAAGAATAGGTATATACGCAGATTTTGGCTTCTAAGAAATGTCACACCATTTTAAAGTGGTCTTTAGAGATCTTTTCAATAGTAGTTTTGTCAAAGTGAAAAATAATCACTTTATTTTGAATTATTTGACTATAGCTCTCTTAAAATCAGTTATGTTCCATTTTATCAAACATGGATGGACAAGAGAGTATTAAAGTCATTTAAATATAAGAGGAAATATAAGATCAACTTTGTTAATATTTGGCATTTTGTGTTTGGCAAACTATACAAATGCTCAGTAACCTCAGAAAATTCTTCATTTTGAGATGCCTACATATGACTAATTTAAAACTTGTTTTATATAAATATATAAGCATATATGTATATGAGCTTTTAAATTTTGTTTTAATTTTTTTGTTTTTAGGTTGCAACAGCAAATCTTGCCTGGGCTTCAGTAGCAATACATCAGGTGCAGGTGAGTCTTTGAGATGTTTTTACAGGGCCTTCCTAGGAGAGACCATTTATTTTTAATGAAGGATTGGAGACTGGAGTAGAGGTTAATAAGTAACTTCATGCTTAGTTTGGGATTTTAGAATATTTTGTTACTTCTTAAAATGTTTATTTAATCTCCTATTCACTTACTGTCTGCCTTAAGCATCTTGTGATTGCATGTATGTATATATTTATATATGTATGTATGTGTGTATTTATACATAGAAGAGATAAATCATTTATGCAATAAATGGTATGTGTCCTGCTATGGTATTTATTTCTCATTGAAAACCTAGGGATTATCTACTGAGAGTTGCTTTGATATTTTTATGATTTTATTTTCTAAGTTATTTTATAAAGTAAATAGTATGTGAAATATTAATTCTTTTTTAAATTTATATATGACAGTGGAATGCATTACCATTCTTATTACATATAGAGCACATTTTTCATATCTTTAGTTGTATACAAAGTATATTCACACCAATTCGTGTCTTTATACATGTACTTTGGATAATAATGATCATCACGTTCCACCATCATTAATAACCCCATGTCCCCTCCCTTCCCCTCCAACCTCTCTGCCCTTTCTGGAGTTCATCTATTCCTCCCATGCTCCCCCTCCCTATCCCATTGTGAATAAGCCTTCTTATATCATAGAAAACATTTGACATTTGTTTTTTGGGGATTGGCTAACTTCACTTAACATTATCTTCTCTAATGCCATCCATTTACCTGCAAATGCCATGATTTTATTCTCTTTTATTGCTGAGTAATATTCCATTGTGTATATATGCCACATTTTTTTTATCCATTCATCTATTGAAGGGCATCTAGGTTGGTTCCACAGTTCAAATATTGTGAATTGTGCTGCTATAAACATTGATGTGGCTATGTCCCTGTAGTATGCTGTTTTAAAGTCCTTTGGGAATAGACCAAGGAAGAGGGATAGCTGGGTCAAATGGTGGTTCGATTCCCAATTTTCCAAGAAATCTCCATACAGCTTTCCATATTACTTGCACCATTTTGTAGTCCCACCAGCAGTGTATGAATGTACCTTTTTCCCCACATCCTCGCCAACTCTTATTGTTGTTTATATGCATAATAACTACCATTCTGACCAGAGACACTGTGTGTAATAGAAGAAAAAGTAGGTCCTAATCTCCATCATGTGGGATTAGGCCCCAACTTCCTTAAAGACTCCTGTGGTGCAAGAATTAAAATCAAGAATCGATAAATGAGATGGACTCAAACTAAAAAGTTTCTTAGCAAAAGAAACAATCTGTGAGGTGAATACAGAGCCTACATCTTAGGAGAAAATCTTTACCCTTCACACATCAGATAGAGCACTAATCTCTAGGGTATATAAAGAACTCAAAAAGTGAAGCATTAATTCTAACTTTTAAAATCACAAATTAACTAAAATCACAAAATCACAAATTTCCTCATAGCTAGACTTTAAGGTTCAGAAACATAGCAGCAATATAGTACTTTATGTCTTTGCTTTCTCTAACATCCATTCATTCATTTATTCATTCATTCATTGGTTGTTTGGGTTTTCTAATTTCATTTCAGCAAACTCAGGTTGATGAGAAACTGTTTGATAGAAATAGAAGAGTTGCAGGTTAATAATATGAGTAGCCAGGATTTCTTGGATCATCAAATATAGGTAGAATATGTGTCCAGCTACAGTTTTTTGTTTTTTTTTTAATTATAAGGTAGTTTTAAAGAGCAACTTGGGTAGGCTACCTGGAGTTGAATGCTAACTCTACTGGATGTTATTTCTGGATCCTAAAGTTGTACACGTCTTTATGCCTCACAAAGTGCAAATCCCAAACCTCTAGAATTGCATGGTGATTAACAGAGATAATAAATATAAGATACTTAAAACAATGTTTAGCACATTTAAGTACTCAATAAATATTAATTATTATTAGTGTTATTATTATATTGTAAACCAAGTGATTTTTTTATTAATAGTATTCTAGACATTTTATTCTCCATAAACAGAAATCAGTAGTAACTAATAAACTCTATTTTTTTTTTTATACGGCAGGTGTGCAGAGGTCTTGCAAAACAGACTGAATTGAATGACTTTCTCCTCGATGTATCAAAGTAAGTGCTCATTTCCAGGCGTATAATGACCCTTTGTGATCAGTGGTTTGAGTGCAGGTCCTGGTAGTGGTAGATCACTATCTGCTCCCTCCACTAACTAAAGATTGGGCTTTATTATACGAGTAACTGGGAAAAATCATTCATCATATTTTGGATTACAGAATCGTATCCTCATACATGTTTATTTTGTATGCAAAGGATTGCAGATGTATATATGATGATCTTAATATTCAATTTGATATTTATTTTCTAAATAGATTCTTAGAACATATTAAAGCTACTGAGAATTTTTTGTAAGAGAATACAGACAGAAGGAGAGAAAATATATAGTTGAATATTTTTCCCTAAAAAGTAGTCCTCTCTAGAGTTTTCTAACAATGTCAGTTTAAACAAGATTATTAATGTTATTATTGCTAACTTTTCTGTGTATAGTGTCTCTGATACATTTTTGAGAAAATGTTCAATTTCCCTGAATTTAGACATATATTAAACTCCCTCAGGCTAATAATGAAAGCAATTATAGATAAGTATTTATTGAACTCATTTTCCTATTGGTTTTGCTTGATACATGGGAGATCTTCTATATATCTGACTTCTCATAAATCACTGAAACTTAAAACATGTCCCAGACATGGTAACTTGGGGTCATGTCCTCCCAGGCATGTTCTAAAGGAAAGGTTGCCTGTTTGTCCTGGCCTCAGTAGCAGTTTCCAGGTGTATTATCTCTGCACATCTCTGTAGTGACATATAGCAGTCTTACCCACCAAAAAATACTGCAGTCTTCACAAATAGAATGTTCGAGTTCACATTATACCTATATTTTGAAAACTAAACTGAGGGAAATGTGGACTTGAAGAACCTTTATTTTTGGTCATCTAAGCTGACTTACCTGCTTGAAAACAGAATTCAACATTATATCTCCAGGACACATTATTTTATTACTTCAAAGCACATAGAAAGGAAACTTTTGCACCTTCCTTGGCTAATGTATTTGCATATTTTGTTGTTCCAAAATCAACCAGATGTCTGATGTGACACTTTATTCCCTCCTGTTTTTCCCCAATAGGAAATTCATTTGAGTCCCCATCTTCTTTAGGGAGTGTATTCTTTAGGAGTACAGTGTAGTCAAGTATGTTCTAAGTCTCAGTAATTTCAAGCTGAATAATTTGTCCTTTAAATCAAAGTCATTAACTGTGAGAATATTGCTAAATTTATAGACACCTGAACTGAAAGCAGTGTGTGCTTGTCTATGTTCTCCTATAACCTGTGCCATTTGACTCATCTTTTGGGGGTTTACATTTTAATAAATATGCCATATACCTCTAAAACATTTACTTGCCATTTGTAATAATGGGAATGTGTTTTATTTATATAGTCATTAGATCTTAATCATTATTTGTATTCTGATATTTCTTCTCAAGTGAATTCTCTTGCTTTCTCAATACAATGAAAACAACTTTTAAGTCCAGCCTTTCAGTGATAATTTACATTTTAACCATATTGATGAGATTTAGGACAGTTATTTTTATTTCAGGTCATTAAATAAAAATTAATTCATGAGAATATTAAATATGGTTGGTCCAATTTTAGTCCTGCTTAGTGTTATTGAAATTCTTCAGCTTTCTCTTCATTTTGGTACTTAGCAATAATGTAATTACGAATATAACAGCTGGAATTAGTCTTTCTATGAATGCAGTAAGTTTGATTTGTATCTTCAAGTAATATTGTTTTTCTACAAAAAAAAAATCAAATGATATATATCTTTACTTTTATAGACAAATCCAGAAAATGCATTCCAAATTTACTGTGTACTGTGATCTAAAGGAAATTACTTATTAGATTATGTTGCTTTTTTTCAGAACATATTTTGATAATATAGTCGCAATAGATTCTCTACTTGAACACATCATGGTAGGTAGCCTTTTGTCTTGAAAATGATTCTATTTAATCGTTAGATCCACATCTTAATAGTGTTTTATGTGTATTAGACATACATGCTCTATGAAATATGAAAATGTGGTGCTTCAAAATCTGTGTACATCTGTTTGTCACTTCTCTTGAAATCTGGGGGAGGAAATTTGGATAACATTTTACAAAATATCTCAGCTTTTCTTTATTTAATGGAGAACTGTGCTTTGAAAAGAGTTTGGTTCCTCTTTATATTCTCCCAAACATCTCTTCCATGTAGGTTATATTGGAGAGTCCCAGTGGATTCTCTTAAATTTTATTCTACTCAGTTTAATCTCAATTATTTCTCTCCTAAGAGGTCAGCAGGCACCGTGAGCTGAAAGCTCTGTGGAGCAGAGCCCTCGCCATCTTTCCCAGTGCTCCTGCTCTAATGCTTGAGGCCCTCCCTCTCTAAATGGTTGCAGTCCTCACACTCAATGTGTGGTGCCTCATGGATGACACCACTTGAGCCCTGCTCTGTGCTTTGGTGGAAGCTCATTTTTCTTCTGAATTTTCTGATTTATTTCAGAGTACAGTAATCTTCTGCAGTAGGAGTTTCTCCATCTAGAGGTTTACTGGTGCATAGTAGTCTGCCTTTTTTAGACTGTGCTATGTCTGAAGAGACAGTATTTGCTAAAGGCAGTAAGACAGGAATATTCGGGATTATTATGAATTTCAGTGTATTCTTTATAGTATCAGTTATCTTGATGGTTTTTCCTGGACAAAATAAAAAAGAATAATTGATGGATAGTAAAAAAATAGCTTGGCATTTATACACAATGGAGTATTACTCTGCATTAAAAAATGACAAAATCATAGAATTTACAGGGAAATGAAAGGCATTAGAGCAGATTATGCTAAGTGAAGCTAGCCAATCCCTAAAAAACAAATGCCAAATGTCTTCTTTGATATAAGGAGAGTAACTAAGAACAGAGTAGGGTCGAAGAGCATGAGAAGAAGATTAACATTAAACAGGGATGAGAGGTGGGAGGGAAAGGGAGAGAGAAGGGAAATTGCATGGAAATGGAAGGAGACCCTCAGAGTTATACAAGAGTACATACAAGAGGAAGTGAGGGGAAAGGGAAAAATAATACAAGGGGGACAAATGAATGTTAGTAGAGGGGGCAGAGAGAGAAGAGGGGAGGGGAGGGGAGGGGAGGGGGGATAGTAGAGGATAGGAAAGGCAGCAGAACACAACAGACACTAGTATGGCAATATGTAAATCAATGGATGTGTAACTGATGTGATTCTGTAATCTGTATATGGGGTAAAAATGGGAGCTCATAACCCACTTGAATCAAAGTGTGAAATATGATATATCAAGAACTATGTAATGTTTTTGAACAAGCAACAATAAAAAATTTAAAAAAATAGCTTTGTCTGATTTTGACAAATTTTAATGAATTTGTAAAGCAGGGAATTATTAAGAAGTAGATAAAAATATAAAGATATAATGTGGACTGACATAGAGCTTGTACTAGGGGCATAGAAGCACTTATTAATCACTTAATAAATTAGCCCTTTATTATTACATTTAAAAAATAGCTTTATTTAGAGGTAATTGACATACCATATAATTCATCCATTTAAAGTATTCAGTAGGAAATTATATTATTACCAGGCATTGAACCAGTCTTACATTCATGGGTTAAAGCCTATTTAGTAGTAATAGATTCTTAACTCCTAGACTGGTTGTTAATATTTGCTTTCAAATTTTGCATCTGTGATCATAACTAAATTGCTCAATAGTTTCCTTTTTTTTAGTCACAATGTTGCATCGGTACTGAGTTATTCTGTACTTATAAAATGAGAAGCATTCCATTCTTTTCTGTGGAGTAAAGTGCTTCAAATAACATGTGAATCCTTTATTTCTTATGGTTTGATGTAAATTGGCTGTAAAACTATTAGGGCTTCTTAGGGTATAGGTCTTCAATTCTCCTTGCTGTGTTTTCTATGGCATTGGAATCTTTAGAATTCACTCGCCCATTTCTGTATTTCGGGAGTTTTTGTTACATTCCTCTAGTAGGTAGTAAATGGGGTTATAAAATGGTGAGCAAAACCTCAAAAGTCTCTACCCTCCTCTAGCTGTGATCCTGATAATCTAGGAGGAGAGATGGACATGAATCAGAAGGTCATGTGCAGGTAAAATTGCCTTGGCACTGAGCTGGGAAGGGCAAAACCTAGCGCTTGGAAAGCTGGGAATAAGCAGAGCTGATCTTTTTGGGGAGCTTGTGGCGGCTTTGTTGATGCTGTGGCCCAAGTCCAGGGAAGTACAGGTGTGACAAAGCAAGGCAGGCAGAAACAGGAGTGGACAGCAGGGAGCAATCCATTCCTGTGCAGAAAGATTCCTCCTGGAAGGCCAAGTTATCAGGCCTGGAGCAGGTATTGCCTTCAAGGTTTTTAAGCCAGAGACGTGTTTAAGCTAGATTTGTGTTTCAAACAGATAACCTTGGGTTAGGAGAGATGAGACGGAAATGAGTTTAAAATGTTTTGAGAGACCTTTTGATAACATGTAAGATTTCTTGATGAGCAAATTTAGATTATATTTTAATTCCTGGGTGATCATTTCATCTACTTCACTGTTTCTCAGTGGGCAATACTGACATTTTGGGTAAAGAAGTTTATCCTTAGCAGAATTGTCCTTGAGAATTGGATGCCAAGAGTGCCTTCTTTTCCCTGCTCCTAGCAACAAACAGGAGAGGCCGCCACTTGCGTTCAGATGCTCTGTGGCCAGCTGCTAGTTAAGACTCAGCTGCTAGTTAAGAGAATTAGGACTTCTAAATTAAATTCTTAAATTTATTGGCATTTTATATTCTCTTCCTTATCTGAAAACTTTATTTATTAAACCTACTTGAGTGAATAAACAGGAATTTACTGGCTGGTGTGACTGAAAAGCCTTTGAACAGTCAGGCTTCTACATTTACTGGGCATGAGAACTCAAACTATATTTTCAGGGATATGTTTGCCTTTGTTTCCCCATTCGACTTACTTCTGTGTCGTCCTTATTATCAGTCAGTCTCTCACCATGTGACAGTGATAGCCCTGTTAGCCATAAGCTGACATTTAAAGTCAAGATTTCTGTCAAGATCAACAAACCATCAATGTCTATACCATGTCACCCCTTCACAAAAAGGATAAAAAAAATGTACACTTTCACCTCCTTTTCACCTTTCTTACCTTCTACCTTACATATTTTTGGATGTATGAATTTTATAAACACACATATCGCCTTTTAGGTGTGTCCTTTATCCTGTTATCATTTCATCTGGAATTTCTTAGATACTGTTTCTACCAAGTTTTACAGTTTCATTATAATTTTGATGATCTCTTTGTTCATTTCTTGGAACCCACCTTCCCTTGCTTTCTCATATTTGTGTGTTTATATATTTTTGTTTGAGCACATCCCCTTTTCCAACATGGTCCAGATGTTAGTAGTATCCTGAGTACCATTCACTTCTAAAATATCTTAAATTTGCCTGATGCATGAATGTATAGTACTTGACTTGGTGTGTAGTACCAAAACATTTCTAGGTAATTTTGAATTCCTTTTCAGTATCTGAGGTTCATTTCAAACTGAGCCTCTGGGGAGAGTGAAAAGGTAAATGTATGTTTAGAGTTTCTCATCTTAAAGTCTTTCTTATTACCTGTAGTTGTTTTTTGATTGATTTTCTTACCTATGCAAAAACATTATGAGCATGACCTCTTTAGATATGTATACTCCACATATCCTTTTCTTGTCTAATTGACATCATATCTTTATCTTGTCCTTACAGATTATTAATATGGTGTAGTTTTTATCATGAATGGTGGTTGAATTGCATCACATACCTTTGACAGCCAGGGTGATAATCAGAGAGTTTTTTTCTCCTTCTCTTATTGCTGTAATGAATTATAGTAGAGTTTATGATACTGAAAAGTTCTGAATAAAATGTATTTTAAAATATTTTAACATTTGTTAATTTTGATAAATGTGGTTTATTATAATTTTATTTATCATTTTTCTAATGTTTCTAAGGTAAATTGGAAATCTATGATTTTGTTTTTATAGTTCCTTGTCAGTATCAGTGACATAGATAATGGGGAATGGATGGAAGGGAGTGGAGATAGACAGAGCAGTAGAATGAGTCTGACATAATTTTTCCATGTACATATATGAAAACATCACAGAGAATTCCACCGTCGAGTACATCCATAAGAATGGAACTCTAACCTCAAATAAGATATACTCCATGCTTGTATAATATAATCAAAATGGATTCTGCTATCATGTCTAACTAAAAAGACCAATAAAATTTTAAAAACTGAAAAATTTTATTCATTTTTTAAAAAATTTAGAGCAGTTCAAAATCATGGGAATTTGTTGGATTTTCTGGTTGTTGTTACTTTTGTTTTTTCTTTTGCGGTACTGGAGATGGAACCCAGGGCCTCACATGTGCTAGACAAGTACCCCACCGCTGAACTACATTGGCAGCCCGTTTGTATTTTGAAACAGTATTGCTAAGTTACCAAGGCTGTCCTTGAACTTGTGATCCTTCTGCCTCAGCCTTCAGGTTTCTGGGATTGCAGCACCTGGCTGTTGAAGATTTTTAAAGAATTCATGGTTAAAACTCTGGGCCTTCTTTCTTTTATGGGGTTGCTTCTTTTGCAATTGTTAAATCATCTTTATGATTCTATTTGATTCGTATTATTCAATCCCTTCTTTAACTTATTTTTTTCTAGAAAATTATCCATCTCGTCCAGATTTTTAGAAATCAGTGTATTTGGTGCTGAAATATGCATTAAGCAATAAACAAGACCTTGGGCACTAGAGTTATAAACTTAATTGGTAATAATGGAATCTTTAATATAGAGGCTCATTATCATCACTGAATAATTCAGAATCTCACGATTCTTCCATATTTGCAAACAACTCGAGTCTCTTCTCTCTCTTGCTACTTTTATACCATTCGTCCTTCCGTAAGGAGTCGTAGTAGTTTATGGAGATAGTGGTAAAGCCATGGGTTGGCAGACTTTTTGTAAAAAGCATACACTACAGTTGTAGGAAATGAATGAATAAATGAAATATGAAATGAATACACCATTTTCCATTTAGCAGTGGAAGTGCATATTTGTTATCAAAGTGTGGGCTATGGAAACAGCTAGTATGAGTCTAAATATCCACCATTTAGTAGCCATAGAGGTACAGGTTAGGTAACCTATCAGTGCTTTAGTTTTCGTAATAAGGATAAAAATATTTCCCCAACTTAATATTGTTATTGTGAGGATTAAGTAAAGCAATGCATATAAAGTGTATAAATATGTCTGGCCTATGGTCAGTACTTAATTGTTACAAAGTATTTGACGCTGTAGGAAATAAATTCAGCTATTACAAATACCAAGTTCTAGGTCTCTTTAGAGGTCATATTTCATATTTTTATAACTGCTATTCACAGACACCAACTAGTCACAGTGCAATGTGGCTTTAACGCTGATGGAGGCTCAGAGCAGGGCATCAGGAGAGGTCTAAGAGTTTCTGGAAGAGCGCTTGGCTCTTGGAAGTCAGGCCAGTAGCAGTTCACCAAGCAGTGTCAGTGTCTTAGCATTTCAACATCCAGCACAAACAGTGTAGGTGCCATCGGTTATTTTTTGTTCTTATATACTAGTATTAGCACATAGCAATCACTTATACACTATCTATATTCACACACATATATTTTATAACTATATCTTTGTTTACTTATAATGCTAATTTCCTACTCAGAGTATAGAATAGCTGAAACTGATAATTTCATAATAAAGGTTACCATAAAGTCTCTCATCGGTTACCATAAACTTCTCATCGGCTTACCCTGGTTTTGCCTTTTTTCTTTAGATATATGCAAAAAACCTGGTGAATGCCGATCGTTGTGCACTCTTCCAGGTAGACCATAAGAACAAGGAATTGTATTCAGATCTTTTTGATATTGGAGAGGAAAAGGAAGGAAAGCCTGTCTTCAAGAAGACCAAAGAGATAAGGTACAGCTGGAGTGAGCGTCCTGTGCTCTGATCACAAATGTGCAGGTGTTCTGTTACCCACTTTTCTGTGCCTATTCACAGGTATGCTGACAATACTTGTCATACTGTGATATCATTCCCACCAGGACCCGCCTCCTGAAGGTAGTACTTCTGGGAATGACATTGCAGTGCCAGCGAAACCACGCCTAGGAAGCTTTAGCGTCACTCCTGGAAATGCCGTCTTCCGGAGGCGGTCCTTTTGGAAATCATGTTGGAAAAACTTACTAGTGCTCCCAGGTAGGTAAAGTATGCTCCACCTGGAGTCTGCAGGTTCTCCCATGTTTAGGAGCAAGGGTGAGCTTAACCAATTCGGCCCCCACCTCTTCCCAGCATATGGACTGTCTCACAGTTCCAATATTACAGGAAATTGATCTGGTGTACTGATGACTTCAACACATTCAGTTATCCATTGGTTTAATCAACACACTTTCATTCCATTTTGAGACTAAAACCTTCTTTGTTCTTTATGTGGCAGCTATTGTCACATAAATGAATAGCATGAGGGTTACTAGTTGGTGGAAGACCTTGGCTCAGGCTTATCAAGCTGGAAACCTGCAAGGAGCACTGTCACAGACTTTAGAACCAGGCTTGGCAGGCACAGGTTGGGGTCCCCTTCAAACTGTGGGTTCCTTTGGCTTTATGTGTCTTGTTCAACTACTCTTCTCTAATACTGCATGTTCTCCAGTAAGATACTGTTCCTCATTCGTTAAGAACTGCCATTCATTTGACAGTCTGTCACATGGAAGTGTGGCCTGCCATGGGGCATCTCCATTGTCTGCACTGGTACTCCAGTTCTGTTTCTAGGTGATAGTTCCAGAATTCCTGACACATAGTTCTGACTTATGGACACTATGTAGGTGTTTTGGGTTTTAAAATTTGGTTTCTTGTTTTCTTTGTCAGCCTGGGTATAGTAGCTTATTTAAAGCCATTTCTTTCTTAAGGTCCAAGTGTTCTCTCTCACTCCTGGAACTGATCCAATTTTGAAATTAGTAACTTAAAGCCTGTGTTTACGAGCACAGGAAAAAGGAGCATGTGGTTGCCTGACTTTGATGCCTGGACGGAGCCAGCATGACTGTCAGAGCATGCTCCTTAAACATGAGCTTCTCCCTCAGCTCCAGTGAGAGGTGTCCACTTGCTCTCAGCAGACAGACTCACTCGCATACCTGGTGAAATGGCCCTCACTGCAGTCTAACTTGTGTTCCTGTTGTTCAAAGCACAAGAAAACAAGGAAACAGACAACTTGGAGTTTATGCATGGTTTACTTGTTGGTGTTTTAATTCTCTTTTATGTCATGTGTCTTTTGACTTTTCTTGATAATCCTTAAGGATAAGCTTCATTTCAGAAATGATTATTTCCTATAATGCTAATAATGTGGTATTATAGAAATTATTTTTGAACTACTGAAAGTCATAGATATAGACATCTTAACTAAATTTTGAAATGAATGCATGTATGGTGATAATATAGTAATAAGAAAAATATTTATTAATGTTAGAACTTATTTATAAATGAAAATATTGATACTGATAACAAAAATGAAAAAATACTGATGTAGATAACAAAAGTGTAATTAAATATAATCAGTTAATGATTTACTTTTGATTGTTTTTAAATGTAACAACATTTAAATTTCTAAATAGTACTTGGGTTATAAACAACAGAAAATCCAGGTCCTGAACACCTCAAAGTTCAGACCCGACCTCTGAATTCGGTTCCACATGTGGTGGAAAGCATAGTGCTATGCTCTCTTGAGAATCCATCGTTTTCTAAATATACCAACTGCTGTAATAGGGCTGGTTCATCATCCTGTATTCTAGTTTTTATTATGACACTACTAGGCCTCAAACCTCATGTCATTGAGACTATACTAAGAAAATTTGTGTGAAACATATTGTAAGTTATAAGGTACTTTACATGTATAAGGGATTATTGTTATTGGTCAATGCTGGTGATCACTAGTTAATTTTAAATTTGTATTTGTGAACCAATTAAATTGCATTATAGTGTGATTTACATCCTAAAAGTCTCAAGTGATCACTGTGTAATGTTTTTCTGCTTTACTTTTACATGTTTTATAAGATAGTTTAGGATATGTAAATGTAAAATTAATATGAGCATTTAAAATGGAACAAGACTTTTCAACTCAATGCTTGATGGTAATGAAGTGTTTCAGAATTATTCTGTATCAGTAGTATTTCAATTAGTGTGTCTCTCTCTTTTATATATGCAGATTTTCAATCGAGAAAGGAATCGCTGGTCAAGTAGCAAGAACAGGGGAAGTCCTGAACATTCCAGATGCCTATGCGGATCCACGCTTCAACAGGTAAAAACAATCAGTTTCTCCCTTAACATTCTTCTTGGTTGAAATGTCTTCTGGACAGCTCCAGTCCTACATGTCTCAACTCCATCAGTTCTTTCCTTTTTGCTGGGAACCAGTCCTATTACTAACAGGTGGTATATTCAGATATTTATGAAGTAATGGATTCTCAGTGACTAATATGTAACAGTGTCAAAGCTAGAGTTGTTTATATTGTTATAAAAACAGCAAATAGGCAGGAGTTTCAACTGATGGATCGCCGGTGGTTTTTTTCATTATACTGTCATCATCTTGTACCATATTCTCTATCGAATAATATGCTAAAGTGCTACACAATACATACTGATAAAATTATATACTTTTGATACTGACAGGTCTGATTTTAAATTATGGTTGTGTGATTTTGTAGTCAGCTCTGAGTCTCATTCCTTTATCTTTAAAATAGTTTAATAAGACTGGTGCTACAGCTCAGTGGTAGAACACTTGCCTCTCAATGCGTGAGTCACTAGGTTCCATTTTCAGCACCACATAAAAATAAACAAATAAAGGCATGCTGTCCATCTAACACTACAAAAAATATCCAAAAAAAGTACAATAATGCCTATATTGTAGTCTTTTTTTAAAGATTATGAATAATGTTTGTTAAAAAGTCTAGAAACTTTACCAGACATAAAGTAGAAACCTAACAAACCATAGATTTTATTGTATATTATTAAAATTGGATTTTAAGATAGCTGAAAAGAGTTTTATTTCATTTTGATTTTCTTTTAGAGTACTAGAAACCAAATTACAAAATATGGTTTTGGTAAATCTCTAGAAATTGAGGAGGCTATGACTGGTAGGGAGTAATATTTGAGATATAGTGACAGTAGTGCTTAGTTAATACAAACATTTGGTTTACTTTGGGAGATAAATGACACAAGAAATGCCAAGATTTTTCATGGAATTAATTGATTAATGTCAAATATGCATGAGTCATATAAGCACAGCTATATTCTTATAATATAATTTATCAATAAATTAAGAATACTAAAATCTTTTTTTCAGGAAAATCGGTGTTTAAATGTTGAAAATATTCATATTATGTAAAATATTTATGTAAAAATTTGTGGGTCGGACTATAAGAAGTTGAAAATAAAATCAACTGATTAAAGAAAATATTGGCAAAACATATATCTGACAAGACATTTGTGTCTAAAATATGAAAACACTCCTCTAAATATTAAGATATTGCAATTTAATAAAAAGGAGACAATTTTAAGAGACACTTTACAAAAGAAAATATTCATATGGCTGTTAAACACATGGGAAGTGAGTAGGGTGTACATATGTCAGTTAGATCCTCCTACATGCCAGTGTGAAATGGTTGAGATTATAAAATACTGATAGTAGCAAGGATTGGAAAGGGTGTGGATAAACTGGAACTCTCAGACTCTGCTGGTGGGAATGTGTAATGGTACAACTCCTTAGGTAAACAGTCTTTCAACTTGTTGGAAATTTGAACATACACCCACTGTATAATCCATCCGTCATCTCCACTCCCAGGCAGTACTGCAAGAAAAACTAAAACATATGTTATCCAAAGAACTTGTATACAGATCTTCAAGCCAACATTATCCATAATTACTGACACTGGCTAATAGAAAATAATGTTTCCCATTAACTGATAAATGGATAAACAAATGTGGTTTATTCATTCAGTAGGGGCAACTATGCTGTAATAACAAGTACTGACAGACATGTGAATCTCAAGAACTGTGTGTAACATGAGGGCATTAAGGACTGCAGCTACTAACTGCCTTACTCCTTAGAGCAGGAGTAAGCAAACCTTTATTTATTAATGGCCAGCTAGTAAGTAGTTTTGGCTATACAGGCCTATGGTTTAAAAGTTAGATCTCATAAATAGGCCCAAGTTCAAAGGAACAAATCACTTTACCACATTTATAATGTTTTTTCTCTTGTCTGTTGACTCAATTATGCTGGATGCTAAAAACCCAATAAGAGCAGAATCCTCCTGTAGAGACAGTTGTGAAAACAAAACAAACAAACAAAAAAGTTAGAATATTTCTGAAAAGGTTATAATAAAACACTTTCAAATATTAGCTTGTCCCTAAATTTAGAGGCTCACAGCGTCTCCATTGCATATCTGAGTTGAGACTTAGGAGGCAGTGAGTAGTTTAATCTTTTTCTACTTGCTTCTTTCCTTGTGGTGATGGCTTTGCTCCTTCACTTTGCAGGGAGGTGGACTTGTACACAGGCTACACTACCCGCAACATCCTGTGCATGCCCATCGTGAGCCGGGGGAGTGTGATAGGCGTGGTGCAGATGGTGAACAAAATCAGCGGCAGTGCCTTCTCCAAGACCGACGAGAACAACTTCAAAATGTTCGCTGTCTTCTGTGCTTTGGCCTTACACTGTGCTAATGTAAGTGCTGCTTTAAATATCACTTAACTATATACTGGATATTAATGTCCAGTAAAGCCACTTGCAGTGTTTTCCATTTATGTTTCTTTACAAACTAGGAGAAATGATTCCTAGTTGTACATATTTTAGGAAATGCCTTAAAAAAATTTCCTGATACTTTGCATTTATTTCAAGGTATGAATTTGTTAAAAATAAAAATGAAATTAATATTTAGGTAAGATGTTTAAACATCAGACTTACATTTCATGATATCTGCTGAAATGAATAAGAAAAGTGTTATTGAAACCCTTCATGTTTGTTGTTTGCACTGCATTTGAGAGTGTATAAAATGTTAGCTGGTAACTGCTGTTTTCACACCAACCAGGGAAGTGTTGCTTGTGACAAAGAGTTGACCACCTCTTCCTTGAGTCCTTCCAGAGGAGTCCTGAGTGTTGACCCATTTAATCCATGCTGTGGTCCTGCCCTCCTCATTGAAGAGGAGCAGGGGTCTGTCTTCACAGGAGATCTTTTGATGTTCTTTCTTTTATATTGTTATGTTTTAAATGAGTTGAACATTTAGTATTCTATGAACCCTAATAATCCTTTTTACTAGAATTCTGAAATTTTATAACCCTTCTGTAAAGGTAAATGAGAAGAAATGGGAGTTACCACCTTAATAACTTAGAAAAATTGCTTTTTGGGAATAGGACTAAGTTCTGTAGAAGCATCCATATAATTCACGGAAATAGTTGAGAAATAACTAGGAGCAAATATTTTTAAAATTTTTTAAATCCAACTCTGGTGACTCTGGCAAACCATTTTAATCCCATCAGTGATATTGGGTAAGAATGCACATTACTTCCCTTACACCATCCTGGGGCCCTCCATGGGTCATTATTACTCAGCTCATCAAAAATAAATCAGCACAGTTGTAAAAAGTTTTGCTTCAGATATTATCAGTATCTATATGTATCTCATAAATAAAAACATGGACAGCTTATTTTTTTCTTATTTAGTTTAAAAGTTGCAGAACATCTAATTTTAGTATATTTTGAATATTGACTATTCATCATTTTGAAATGGAATCTAAGAACTAAAGTAACTCAGTACCTTTTGTTGTTTTTTTTTTTTAAAAAAACCACAGCAAGACCTTATGATTGGAAAATTAAACACTGTTTGTTTTACTCTCTGAACAGTATTTCTACTATTTAACAAAATTGTATTCTAATATTTTATGCTTTAGAGTATTTTATTATTCTGAGATAATATTCTAAAACAAACATGTATAGTAAGTGGTAAAAATTCATTATTAATTGTGATTTTATATATATGTATATACATTATATATATACATATATAATATATATAGTATATGTTATTACCAATATGTTATGTCAAAACAATATAACTGTATCACAAAATTTGGGTAATTTTCCAGAATAAAAAGTAAAAATATTATGGAAAATGATATTTTTAATGAGATGTGTATGCCTTAAAACAGCAATAGTTAATATATCCTTCACGGATTTTACATATTGTTAAAATGAAAGGGGATTTAGCATCATTTTTCTACAGTTATAATTTTGAAGTAATTTCAGATCAAAAGCAACATTGCAAAAATAGTACAAAGAATCTACTTATACCATTAGCCTTATTCCCCCAAAGTTATGATGTGTATCATTTTTGCACTTTCTCCTTCTTTTTCCCTCTTAGTAACTGTCTCTCTCTGAGCTGAGATTGTCTCAGACACAATGTCTAGAAATGCAGAATGCTTCAGCTTGTACTTTCTAAAATCAAATACATTGAATTCCTACTGCACATTTAAAAACACCAAGAAGTCAACATTTGGGGTGGGGTTGTGGCTCAGTAGTAGAGCACTTCCGGGCAGGGGTAAGGGCCTGGGTTCAATCTTTAGCACCACATAATTAATTAATTAAAAGTTAAATTAAAAAAAAAAAGAAGTCAACATTGGTACTGTGTTAGATTATTTGGGCTGTGTAGTGGATACAAGACTGAGTGACTTAAACAACAGAAAGTTATTTTCTCTCTCAGCTTCCGACTACCCCCTTGTAATCTGTCCTGATGTGGTTTTTCCTATGTGTGGAATATTTCTGGGTCCTGATTGCCTCTTCACGTGTTGGATTGATTCACACATAGGACATTGTTTTGCCTTAGTTACCACTTTATTTAAAGGCCCCATCTCTTAAGTTTGGTCACTGGGATTGAGGCGTTGAATGTGAACTTTGGGGGAATGTGGGTCAGGCTGTGCCTAGGTACTGTGCTTTGATCATCTGCAGACATCTTGAGTCTCCTTTATTCTGAAACTGTTCTATAATCTTTGTTTTTCTTCACCTGGATATTTTTAAAGCTATAAAACTGGTATTTTGTAGAATGTTTCTTAATTTGGCTCTGTTTGATGTTTCCTCATGGCTGCATTAAAGTTATAATTTTTAATGTTTTTATGATAAATTATAATTATTCATAACAGTGGGATTCTTGTGACATATTTATACATGCATATAGCATAATAGCATAATTTGCTCATTTCATTTCTCAGTACTTCCCCTTCTCTCACCTCCTTCCTCCCCCTTAACTTTTACCTCTACTCTACGCTACTCCCATTGTTATAATTTGAATATATAGTATCTCCTGAAAACCTCAAATATTGGAAACACAATATCCAATGTAGCAAATGTTGGGAAACAAAAAAGATTAGATTATGTAAACTATAACCTAATCAATGGATTGATCCATTTGGGGGATTAGGAATCTGAATGGATTGCTGGGTGGTAACTATAGGCAGATGAGGTGAGGCTAGAAGAAGCCATTCGGTGGTGGTGGTGGGAGGTGCCCTTGGGCATTATATTTTATCTCTATTTTCTCCCTCACTTTCTGCTTCTGGGATGCAGTGAACTGAAGTGTTCTATTTCACCTCAGCCCCAGAGCAATGGAGTTGGCCAGCCGTGGACTGAACCTCTGAAACTTGAGCTAAAATAAACTTTTCCTTTTCTGAATTGTTCTTGTCAGATACTTTGATCACAGTGATGGAAAGCTGACTGACACATACTTTGATTTATTTTTTAAATTGGTACATTATAATTATATGTCAAAGTGGGAATTACTGTGATACATTTATACATGCACATAGCATAGTTTGAATGATTTCATTCCCAGTCCTTCCTCCTCCTTCCCCTTCTCTCTCCCCCGTAATTCCCTTCCTCTACTCTACTGTTCTTCCTTCTGTTTTCATGAGATTGCTTTTTTACTTCCTTATTTCTCTGTAACTCCCTCATTTGACCCTTGACTTTCTGAGTCTGTCTTATTTCATTCAGCATGATATCCTTCAGTTTCATCTGTTTACCAGCAAATGACATAATTTCATTCTTCTTTATGGCTAAAACTCTGTTATGTATATATACCACATTTTCTTTATTAATTCATCGGTTGACAGACACCTAGGATGATTCTATAATAGGGCTATTATGAATTGTGCTGCTATAAATATGGGTATGCATGTATTGCTATGGTATGGTAACTTTAGTTCTTTTGGAGAAACATCAAGGAGTGGTACAGCTTGGTCATTTGGTGGTTCCAGGCCTGGTTTTTTGAGGAATCTTCACACTGATTTCCATCGTGGTTGTAGTACCAAAAATGTGTAAGTGTTCCTTTTCCCCTGCATCCTTACCAGCATTTATTATTAGTTTCAGTAAGCTAGCCACTGGGTTCCTTGAAGCCTCACCTGCTAAAAGATGTTAATGTCACTGACCTGATGTTTTTTGAGTAAGTTAGCTTTGGGTTTTGAACATGTTTTTACTAGGAAAAGCACCTTGTAGTACTCATTGTCCCAAGCAGTTAATCCAACAATTTGCAGGCTCCCTGCCCTTCCTGAAAGTTCTATTTCTTTCTGGGAAACATACAGAAGTATTTTTTTTGCAATAATATATGCAAAAGTTTTGAGCAGTATGAAATGCCCTTTAATTGTTGGCTATTATTAAGTAGGATTTAAGTGTATTGATCCTGAGAAATTAAAAATATTTCTGCTCTTGATTATGTTCTTATTAATTATGTCCTTAATAAAAGCATGTGAACCCTCATGAAAATTACTTCTAATTCTGAATGTATAATGTATTGGTATATTTTATAATTGTCTGACTTAATATTCCTGTTTAAAAGTCCCTGTGTTTGGAGCAGGATGATGGGCCATTTAAACAATTATAATGTCTTCATTTTTCTTTATTTCATCTTTGGATTCATTAGACTGCAGTATTTTTTGTTGAATTAAAGGTGCATTCCTCTAAATGGCAACATCTCCCTTTCGTTTGTTGATTTAACTGTTTGTTAGTTGGAAATAGCCATCTACTTTGGAAAGTAACAGAAAGTAACCATTTAAAAAGATTGATTCTTTAAAACTAAATGAGTTAATTAATTTGCTTATACATATTATGGTTTTAAGAGGCATTTTAATATAATGCAAGAAGCTAAGATGATAGTAATTACTGTTTTTACATCTTTGGCCTGGAAAAAGGAGCCCTTCAAAACAGACTAGCTCTCTACATTCTGTGTGGGAAGATGTTTAACATTAAAGAGACAAGGAAAAAATCACGATTCAAATGAAACCAATTGGCTAGGGACAGGTATAATAACCTTTATTCATTCAAACTTTATTAATTCTTGAATTCAGCCACCAACTATTGAGTCTATTTTTTTCATATCAGATAGTAGATGTAAAGGTGATAGAATAAAAGCTGCTCTTATTTGATTCAACACTTTGTAATTGGAATTTTTTGAATACTTTACATATTTTTAAAAAGTCTCACAACAATCCCATGAATAAGGATTGTTATCCCCACTTTACCCCCCCCCCAAAAAAAAAGACACATAAAGTTTAAATAATTTATCCAAGGTCACATAGTATCAGAGTATGTGATAGAGCAAGGATTTGGATATAGATATAGTTATGGCCTCAGATACGGCCTTCCATTTTACACTGGTCTTTCTGAATGTTGCTCATAGGAAGAAAA